GCGAAACGATGCGATGGCGAAAATGAAATCATGGCACGTCACGCCAAGAGCTGTATATCCGGTCTCTCGTTCATCTCGTCAATCAGGATGGACGGGGCTCGAATAGATGGACTGATTCAGGATGGAAAATGTTTACGGCTCGATTTGTATTCTGGCCGTAGCGGGAAAGGTTCTGGCAGAGCTCAGAATCTCCTAGATATGGGGCTTTTCGGAAGGACTGACCTCCATTCAATTATTCAGCTTCCCACAGGGTCTCATAAGGAATTTTTATCGAACGTGAGATCGTCGAATCAAAGCATGTCAGGAAGCCATCCAGTGCGGGCGACAGAGAGACTGATAACGACTTGGGGAGACAAGCCGGAGCGAGCGCGCCCAAGGAATCAAAGGTGGTCCCGGCATCCTCGACGTTCGCTCGTGTCAAGCTCTACCGACTGCCAACGGAGCTCGGCGTCTGCTCGGAACCGATCACGCCCCAGCATTACATTTCCAGGGAGTTCGCCATGCGGCACGTTTGATTCAATCGAAATCCTACTCACTTCTGCTCGAAAGCCGATTCGAAATCCGAGACAATTGGGAAAGACGAGCGGCCGATGATGCATACCCTCGGCCCTATTCGCCCGATCAATGATTCAGCTTGCGTCCCGAAACCCCTACAAAGAGCTCAGGAGTTTCCATCATATTTACTCAAGCGAATGCTCAAGTGACGACTGCTCTCGATCTAGGTTCGGTCTCATCAACGGAAGCGGAATACTCCTCATCGATCGAGCTAATAAACGCGGAGCTCTGACCGGGAGCGCGCGGTGGTCGTTCCTCGCTGCCTGAGTCTGGAGCTGACCGCGAACTCGGGGCTCCGTGAGTCAGATGATTGGTGAAGATGGGGAACTTTTCTGATGCTTAGCTTCCCTCGGCAGACAGAATGAAATCACTGCACGTGTTCACCTAATCCGCTCATTGAGCGACTGATTTCAGATCTCTGCGATGGCGAAAACGTGTCGGGCTGCTTGAATGGATAGATGTATCTACAAACATGCCTGCTTTTCAAACGTACCTGATCAGATTATTTTCGATGATCGTCGTACGCTCTGAATCCCTATGTGTATGCGAAGTTAACAAATATAATTGGGATGTTTCTACTTCACAGGAATTTGGCTCCGACGCTGGTTCCTCGAATGGATGAGCGCTCGTCCCTGAATGCTCAGAAACTCAGACGCTCGTATTTTCAGCGGCTTCCTAGTTTGGACCGTAAACGGAGGGACTCTCCGAGGGGACCTCAGCCAATCGAATCCGCGCAGTTAAGAGAGGTATCATAACGGTGCCGCGATTTTCCTTGATTGAATAAAAGTGCCAATAAACTGGATCGACCCATTACGCGGATGACCGATTCAGCTAGTTGCACCTCATTTGAAATTCGCTCGAATCGCTCGCTCGGAGATATTCCGAATCTCCTCGAGTCTTTCCTCGCATGTAGGCACCGTCTCGTTGCTCTATCTTGATCTCCTGGCGTATAAAACTCTCGGAAAGCCACCCCATAAGTTTGCTATGACATCTATTTAGATAGCAACAGACAACCGGCTGGAGAGGCTTAGACTGAGCAGCAGGAATATATGTTCTGCTCGTTTGCGGCCGTTCTCATCTCGAAAGTCTTCTTTTGCTCGTCCTGGTAAGATGGCACCATATATATCCTCTGTAGCTTCACGTCTCGCTCGCTCACGTACTTCGTCGGTGAGTCGTTCCCCTTACGCTGCGAATAGATTCCCCGCTCGGAGAAGAGCAATGTGAATGAAATGCTTCCTTCTTGGGAACTCCGGTGACTCTGTCAACAAGATAGAAACCGAAAGTTATCCAGGGCCCGAAAACAAAGCATCGTGAGGAAGAATATCCGCAGAATCTCCCGAGTTCCGAACCCGCTCATTAGGGCCGCCCCGAGCTCAAACGGGATCGGAGTCGAGGATCGATTCGCAGGACAAATGAGCAAATAAAAAGTGTCGCTGGCAAAGATGTCGTTGCCGGCTTCTTATTCCCGTGAGATTTTCACACGGCTTTCGGATGCCGTAACCGCTGCACCTTCTGTCGGGGCACTCAGTCGTCACCCCTTGGGGAGGAGGAACACGCTAACGGCATGCACGCGCGACGGATCGTCAGCAAGCCGGGTAAGCGGGCAGGCATTTTCGTTGTTCAAACTTAGCTGCGTTTTAATCAGCGGCCATGCATACGTTTAGATCTCTCGGGGGAAATCTTTGACAAGCAAGGCACGCGCGTCGCCACCACCGCTGTCGCGACGACGACAGCATCTAAAAACATTGCGCCGCCAATTTTTTCCCACCGTCAGAGCCCGCCGGCGCCGCCGCTCTGAACGTCTCGTCGACTTCTATCGTTTTCGAATTGACTCAGTCCCCATGTCGTCATCCCGGTTCGATGTTCGGCGAGATTGAGATGTGAATTTCAGAATAATCCCGCGGGACGAACGAGCTGTGCCTCGCGCGGCCCATATCTGTATGCTCTGTGGCATTCCCAAGGGACCACCTTTGAGCGTTCAGTACTTTTTGAGGTTGACTCAATTCGAACAGAAAGCTGAAATGGCCAGCGGAGCCCTGCTAGTCGCGGGAAATATCCTAAGAACTTCTGGGCAAAAAGTTTTAGGAAAAGCATAAGAGTCGGAAGACTTGACTTCTTCCACCTGGTTCAATTTATTCGAATCATTATCGCTTGTCTTCTGTTTCTGGATATCATCATAACCGCAACGATATGACCGTATATACATACTTCGGCTGCATCTTGATTCGGAATGCTTTGACACCGTTTTGAACATAATATTTACTTTTTCTTTCTAGCCTGTTTCCGCCCCCACACGGCCTACGCATGGTGTATCGGATCATATTCGCCTAAATACCAAGCTTCCGAGTCCATTATTACGCTAATAAAATTCCATTCGGCTCAAGCTCACTGAAAATGAGGATGCCTAGTAAATAATTAGCTTTGTACAGTTTTGTTTCGCAGTAATTCTCTCAAAGAGACGCTCCTGGTTCTCGTTCCGTAGCAAAGAAAAAAACGTCATGTCGGCTGAGTTCCTTCCTCCTCGGAATTCTTTGAACGTTCGGCTGCTCCGTATATTCTGCTGATTGTTAGACCTGCGGCTGCTCTCCAACTCATAGTCCTTTTTCGAGTCTCCACGCACTCCCTAAGTGAATCGCTCCGAATATACCACCGATTCGCTTCGAGCGGACGGGACTAGCAAAGACAAACTCGTAACCTTGTAACACTAGATGCGGGAGGCAGGAAGACCCCGAGGAGAACAGCGCACCGCAACAGGATTAACTCAGACTGCCCGTCTTCCCTCGACTTCCTGCCCCCCTATCCAAGTCGGTACAGCCGAATATTCCGACGAGTGATGTCCGATTGTAGCTTGCTAACGAAGGTTCGCCCAGGTTTATGAATCTACACCTTGTGGTGGTATTCGACAACGATGGATTCCCTTAAGAATCGTCAGTTACGCACCGTCCGCATAACATTCCAAAAACGAGTGTCACCTAAGATTGTGAATGGAACCAGAATTGTCATAGAGGGATATTTATCCATGGGTCGATCTGATCTGGACTATTGTATAAGTCTGGCTGTTCAGGGTGCTTAAGTATTTAAGTAACGGTCAAGATCTACTCGAAACGTGGAAGCCCGGTTTCTTTGGTTGAGTTACTTGGTGGTGTTACGAGTAGACCGACAGCTATGACCTCTGATCTGTATAGCACTCTTTTCTTCCTCATGTCATTTCACAAGTTTCTTCAGTTACAGTCAATGTGTATAGCTCTATGGGTTTCCTCGACAACTAATCGACTTCCTCATTCATTATAACTTACGTACTCTGTCCGGCACTGTTGAGCTACGTAACGTGAGCTAGTCATTGTAATGGGTGTCTTCATGTCCATGGGTGAGTTCAGCCTTTCAGGTTTCACGAGAAGCTATCCCTCCCCGATAAGCGTTTGATGGAAATTTAATGGATTCTCCCCCTTTCCGGGAGATTCGGATACGTGTTCGATCGTTAGCAATGATATGGACTAAGGCTTGACCGTTTGGGTATTAGATCTAGTCCTCGATGGACCCTTGGTCGAACATCCGTTCCTCGGTCGCTTGCGGTCGGGGAGATCGGGGTGATTTCAACGCGGGAGAAATGAACGATATCGTGTTCTGATAATATCTGTTGCTAAACGGATACTTATGTCGACGAAAAGGCTCAATTCGTGCGACAGCGGACAACTAAGCTGGCTGATGACAATCACAACATTCTAGATTGAAAGGATTAGTCGATCGATCCTTAGATCGATTGACGAGGACGTTGCTCTGTGGAGTCTTTTCTCGGGACGCCTGACTTTTCCTCGTATCCTGTGTCTATCCCCGTGTCTCCATTGTCTCGGATGTTCCGATTTCCTCATTCTTTGCTCGTATGAACGATTTTCTCCCTAGGCAATAATCCCTTGATCCAATCCCCTGATTTCCTTGAAAGCCCACTCCAAAATGCGTAAGGTTCTCCCCGAGCGATTTTCGATACAGAGTCGATTACCGGCTCACTAGTGCTTCACTGACTGCACACAATGGAGGAGCTCATCTCGCGTCTCAAGCTAAAATTGTTCGCATTTTTTCCTAGCATTCCTTTTCGCTGTTCACGCACAACCCGAAGAGGCGTCTCACGAATCGGGACTGGAGTTGTTCACGAAAATTTTCTCTCTCCACGGTTCCGTCTTCCGTTCGCCGTTTCTTCAATGCTCCACATATCGACTCCCGGAGCTCGCTGACGGATGACGAGGAATCTCCTGAAGCTGAGACGCGCCCCCTGGTTGTTGTCGAGCCTTCTGCTGCTGCTGCAACTTCTGCCCGGTTGCCTGAAACTGTTGCGTGCAACTGTCCCTATCTTTCCGAGAGCGACGATTTGGTCGCGAACCCTGACGACAGGCGGTCTACGGTCCTCGTTTACGATGCGATGCGAGCTACGTGGAGCTCGTTCTTGAATATCAGGGAATCTCGCTCTTGAGCCCGTTGCGCATGACCAACTGTCTTCGCTTCGACAGGCAGCCGAAAACCAAGCCGAATGCGACGAATATCGCAAACATGATCACCATAAGGGCGAAAAGTTCGTTTGTGATCATCGGGGGAACCGGTGGGGCGGCAGGCAACGAATTCGTCGCGTTGATCATGAATCCTAAGGCCCACCCCAGTCGGTATCCCTGTTCCTGCAAGGCAAAATATTCGGATCGAGTGAACTTTTCATCAAATCCTCTGGGCATTCGTCATGGGGGGCATCCACCGATGTGTCTCGTCGAAGAAATCTGTCAGGCGCGCTCGGAAAAACTTTGCGAAGGTCGCGTGTCGAATATTCCTTGTCGATCTCCTCGACAGGGGGGATGAGGTTCGATGGAGTACAAAAAAAAGGCTCGCGTCAAGCCGGGGGAAGCCGTCCCGGGCTCGTTTGGCAAATCCTCTACTAGTCGGAGAAAGTCTACGCATCGCTGCTATGATGTATGCTAGAGTCTGTAAGGAGCTACGTAGGGGAAATCCGTCCTCGAATCGAGGAACGAACGGAACTCCGAGCGGACCGTCGTCGTCGCCGCCGTCGATGGTGGGAGGGGTTGTGCTGTCAAGCTCAGCGGAACAAGCAGAGTCAAAACAAATGACGACCACATACCGAGTTGGTTCGTTTTTTGTTGTGGACGGAACTCCGCAATATCAGAAATTGACGCAACAGACGCCGCTTTCTAGATCGAACGCGGATTTTCTAACAAGCCCCCGCCGACATGTTGTCGCCTCAGCGTAGGGTTCTCAATTTAAGCTCGAAGTTTCGAGGAGGGAGAGCCTCCACCGATATCCATCGACTTTTCCGTCAATGTACATGATTGAATGCGATGAATTAAAGTTGAACTTTCCGACAGGCATCGGAGTCCTGAATCGACAACGGGTACTCTCCCGACAGGCTCTCGACGTGACTAGAGCTTTGTTCGTGTAATTGTTTCTCAGTCAACGAGAGAGCAGTGTCGGACTCCACGCATAGGAACCTTGTGCGGCAAGGCTAGAGTATATACATAAAAAAGAAGTCCGCGTTCCGAGTGTATAAGAAACAAAGATTAATGGAAGAGACTCGTTCTCATGTATAAAGGAACTGTTACATTAAGTTCCTCTGCGAAGCAGGTCGTGCTTTCGGTCGACGTGTTACGAGACCACTGACTCTGTGCTCCCTGACTCGTTCTCTGATGTGGGCCGCTTCATTTGTTTGAAGATCCTTCTCGTCCCTCCGAAATCACGACGAGAATTTTGCATCCCACGTGTCGGAATTTCTCGAGTTGCCTCGTGGCCTCAGATGTTCGTTTCATTGCCGCCAGGCCACGCATATTTCCCGCGCGATGCTAGGAAGCGAATTGTTTTCGACCACGGGAATTTTCTCGGAATCGAGCGCTCGACCGATGTCAGAAAACGGGACGCTCATAGAATCCGCTGCGGGAGAACAGTCGATTCGCGCCCGAACAAAGTCATCGTATTGCTCAGAGTCTCACAAGTAAACCTTCTCTCTTGAGGATCATGACTGCCTAGTTTTCCGATTTTTTCCGAGTCAGATATCGACGGAATTCAGTTTGTGGAATAATACTCACGCTTTGTGCAAAAGTGAGGCTCTGCATGGTTTCCTCGTCGAAGCCGTACTTCTCTCTAAGCAGTCTCAGAATATAATTGAGACGGAAACAGGCTGTCGCTCCGTGATCGTCCTCGCTAAAGCCCTTCCGTCGAAGTTGTTGCTTCGTGGACGAGCAAAAGTGCTCTGTAGCGGAACTGAAGTTGGCCAGGGACCCTCTCGTGAAATTGATCACCTTGGCCGCCTTATGGAACTCAGCGAACGCCTATGGAGATCAAGAGGGGTTTGTTCAGAACGGCTGGCTTTTTTCCACGTCAGAAGGCTCTATTCCCCACAAAGCTCTATTCCCCACAGCTCGGAATGCAACTACCGAATTACGTTTCACTCGAAATGGGTTCCGTTCAATTATGCGAGCCTATTCTGCCATGGGTACAGAGGGATAATACTTGTGAAGCCATCGCGTATCGCTCACCATATAGTCGATAGATGGCACTCTTCGCTCGAGAGGTTTGAAGCACTGCCCGTACCCTTGTTCGTCGCAAAGCGACTCATCAACAAGGTCTTCGGTGAGGGCCTGACACCCCTCCGGATCGCTTGTACCGTTGAAGGTGACGCTCTGAAAAGGGATGCGTGCCTTGAGAAAAAAAAAGCGCGGGAGAAGACCGAAATCTTTGTTATGCATAACGTTCCAGGAGAGCAGTTGACGCGTAGTCGGCTCCGATCCTGGTTCGCCTCGCCAGCTGCTGCATAGCTGGCATTGCACCGAACTGCTTTAGACGCCATATGGTGATCGTAGAGCAGCAACTGACCCGATGGAGAATTCCGCTGCTGATAGCGCACATCAAGTTTCTACGACGCGACGCCAGCTGAGCAATCATTCAAATTGCTCAGGAACTCGAGCTTCTACGCTATGCCGAACGCCTAAATTGGATCTCGTCCGAGCGACCGAATTTCCGGCGCGGACGACTTCGTTCGGATTGTCACAATGGGCAACGAAGTTCCAGCGAGAGCTCGTACGTTCGCCCGCATACTCGTTTCTTCTACCTGGATCTACGGCATCGGAAGGAGCGGACTTCACTGAATATTCTTCTGAGAGAAGAGTAGCTCGATGAATAATTCTATATTAGCACAGCAAGGGCGCTGGCGCACTCACCTCGTTCAACTTCAGTAGGATTGATGTGTCCATTTTGGGAGTCAGTGTGCATTGCGTCGAGAATATGTGTTCAATTCGAACGTCTATCAGTTGACCTCTGTGGTGACAGGAACTCTCCAAGGCCCGACCAGTCACGTATTTCTGCGGAACCAAATGATACATACTCAGTCGGCTGTCAAACTGTCGCTATACGTTGATTGATATCGGGGGAAAGCGAGGCGCTCTCATGTCACGGTGTCGGCCCGTTCACCGTAAACGCGGACGAATCAGCTCCGACGACGTGGGATTATCTTAGGTTAGGATCTGTCGTATAGAACACCGATTCCGCGGAGCAGCAGGGGTAAAGGATAAACTGCCCTGCGGGAGGACGCGAAAACAAAGCGGTCCTTGATAAACCTCATATGGCGCAATCTTGTCGAGGAATTCGACACCCTCGACGGCCCATTGATGCGGAAAGAGAGCCCTGACTGTATTGGTTTTAGTGCTTCCGATCTCAAGCGATCGCTTTGTTCTGCTCGAAGCAATTAGCTTGGGATAATGGCAGAATCGGATTCTTCCCTGTCGGAGCGCAAAGCAATGAATAGCCTCTTCATCATCCGGGGTTTTGTAGCTCGCCGCACATTTTCCGATGTTTTTGACTGTCGGTGCTGCGACCTGCAGCCCAGAAGGAAAAAAGCAAATCGACACGACGACGGGTAGCATGGAGTCGCACCATCCAGAAAACGCTTTCGCCGAAAAGCGATCTCCTTCTCTCCAGCCTTGCCCCGGCATCGGAGCTCTTGCGCTCGGGAGGGGGAACCCGACTGCCGCGATTAGTTCATGAGCTGGAGAAGGCCTCCCATACGTTCTGGCTAGTCCGCGTCCTTGCTTTCCCCGTCCTAGGAACCTGTCTCGAAGAACTCAGCGGATCGCATCTGCATTCCGGTTGCTCGGTGACGAGCCGCCGTCTGCGGAAACCTCCACGAGCGGGCCGAAAACAGAACCGACCGCCAATACGTCACGGAGCGAACTCAGGGAGTTCGTTGCGAAACCGATCCGTGGGCATTGGCGGTATTGCTCCGAAGTCTCCTTGATCTTGTGTCCCTCCATCGGAGGGAAATGTTTCCTCACCAACTCACACGGATCCCGCGTTCCCATGTCCCCCCTCCCAGCAATGTCGCTCTCGAAGTTCAAAGTTCAGGAGGAGTTAATGGAGCTTGAACTCTCGGTCTTCGGGATCGGGGGACTCTTCGACAATGATTCGAGACCGCCATTGTGGATGAGCTCCTGAGTCATGATCGACAGCTCGGCTTCCGGTTTCCATTGATGTTTTCTTTCCCTCTCTATATGGACTCATTGAATCATCGAAAGCGCGCTCTCCGTTCCAAAACCGACGGCTATCGATCCGTCTGTTCTTGTCTCACGGGGACGGCTCTCCCATTGGGAGCGAAAGTAGCGGAATCGGCTTCACACTTATCGGAGCACTTAATATTCGAGAAGTCTGGATAATCGATTTCGTGGGTGACGTTTCCGATGAATCTTCTGCCGGAAGGGTCCCCATGGATGTTTCGAGAGTCGTTGACATTCACAGACCTCTCCCATACTCTCGGAGATATGTACATATGCTTCTCGCAGGTTGGGTCGCTCAATTCATGATGTGCTCATTCAATTCAGTCGCTCGTTTATTCAACAACACGCGGTCTGCATCCAATAATTCTGAGCGTTGAGCGGAGAACACGATTCATCAAGTAAGCATCCACCCTGTCGTCAAGCACGCGTCGGTGTCTCGAATTCGAAGCTTCGGACAGCTTCCGTGAAGGGAATGTCCAGAGACGATTTTCCCGAGGAATCGAGGCGCGTAGTCGATCGCTGCGCAATTAGTCGTGTATCCAGACAACGCGTTTCGATGGAGATCTCCGATGGAAGGGGAAACCCGAATCATGTTCAACCGGGAATAGCGCCGACCGTCGACGTTGGAGTTCCCCGTAAACAAAGTCTGCTCGGGACGTGGCTCCCAAGGTGAATCCCGCTTTTGGTTCTCCTGAGCCGGATTGAAGATACTCCTACGAATACGGCGATTTCTGTCGGCCGTATGATGTCTTCGTCGTCATCCCGAGAGCTCAAAGCTGGACCTTTAGGCTGGTCTAACTAAGGCACCCGATTCGAAGTCTAAGTATTTTGCGGAAAACTTACGTTGTCGTGCATGATCCGAGCCAAATATCGCAGGTACGCTTGCCCGACACCGAAGCAAAGTGAACTTCGCGAGTACACGTGGAAGTCTTCACCGTAAAGTCGTAATCGCGTAACGTCCGTGTCCATGACAGCCTCCTTCTCGGTCACGGCGAACGCAATGTGTGAGGAAGCCTCGCTCAGATCGAGAGAACCGGCGAACAACTTTTTCGCCCCGCTCTGAAACCACGGAATGCTTATTCACCGAGGGTCTTCAAAACAGAAGTGTCCGGGAGTGGGTGCTGAACTCGAACTTTCTAGGATGACGCAGCCTCCGTCGAGGGAGCCCGACACGAGAAAACACCTCAGGAAGCTTCGAACTCGGAAGCATCGAGACTTCCGATATTCCTGGACAGGGGCGTGATGCCTCGGTCATGCCATGCACTTGATCATTCGTCATCAGAGCGTCGCCGCTGTGAGTGATATGATATGCGGAATTCGCAGAAACGTGTGGCTCGGTCGACGCGAGTTCCACGTCTAGGATGTGAGGGTTCTTGTAGTGCTGTATGCAAATATTTACGTTTCCTCGACCCGCCATCGAAGATTAGGGCAAGAGTAATGGATTTTGTTCGTGTTTCCATGAAGCTTCCGGGATCATCATCTAATGGTCTGAATGTTCAGAAGCCGACCAACCCCGGTACAAGCATTCATTGGGTCTGAGGAACTCGAGAGAACGAGCAATTCGCTCCGGTGCGATAGAAAGGGCAGGAACGGAAGAAAAATGAGCCTCGTGGCGTATTCTCGAATGGTATCGAGCCCGTATTCCATTGAGAGAGATGTTGAAGCGAATGGTTCAGGTACAGGCAAAGTATGAAAGGCCGCGGAATCCGGGGCACAAAGTGGCCGTGCTCCACTCACCGGCGGGGGCAATCGTCCGAGCAGGTAATTGGTGGAAAGCCATCCGTAAATTCCCTCGTCCCTCCCGCTCAGGATACCCGAACTCCTGAAGCTGAATCCTGAGCTACGCAGCGCGCACTCGACAGCCAACAGCGCGGTGTCCGTGTCCTTCGGGTTGATGAGACTGCGGAGACAAGGCAAACAGAGACAAAAGATAACAACAATAATTTTCACTCGGTTAGTTCGCTATGCTGCTCTCCCCTGATTCGTGCTGCCTCTCGCACCGCGTTTACGCTTTGAGGTGTGCTTTTCAGCTATTGTTAAAGCTCTGCACAATATCTCTCGGCTCGCTCGCCGGCTCGACATGTGTGTAACCAGCTGCCCCAGCAACAGCTTCTCTCAGAGGGGATTTCCCCCATGTTCGGTAATTCTCCCCTTGAGTCGACGGCTCGAAAATTTCATGTTCAATGACGTCACTTGTCTGACGCTCGGCCCTATCTCCGCCGCACGCGGGACAATCGGGCTGGCTGGCTGGCTGGCTCGGACGGACGAGCGAGACTCGACTTGACTTTGGGTTCGGCCTCGTGAGTCTCACTATGGAAGAAGTGTGGTCGGAGGACAGAGATGACAAGGAGAGGCGATAGGAAACGCGATGTCCGAGACCCGATCTCGCATGCTCACCTGTCTGCAGTGTCGGCACTCTCGACTTTTCGTTTTGATCTTCGTTTCCTTCGCGTGCTTCTATAGTCGAATATTTCTCCTCTAAAAGGTGTGATTTTTTCTTCTGAGCTTTCTGTCCAAATGGAAGTTTGTTCGGCTGGCTCCACCCATCGTTGTGTCTTGCGTCCTCGCAATCGACCTCTGATCCGAGTCGGGCGGGGGTTGGGGGTGGTGGTGGTCATTGAAAGCACTTTCATTGGCTCGTCGATTTTGGGAATCGTCGGACGCCTGGTCGAAGTCAAGTTTATTAGAATTCCATCAACCACTCAACATGAATCCCCCCTCTCTCTGTCTACGACGGAGGACTTTGCTCTGAGTCTCACGTCCCCATTTCTTCTCAGTTGTTTTAGTCGGATGCTCCGTTCAGAGAAAACGTCGAATGACTGCTTACGCTCCCAATTGGCACGAATACAGAGAATCTCGTGAACGTCTCGCGCTTTACCCTCCCGTACGCTCCGGGGCATCTGGTCTCAATACCTCCAACTTGATCGGGGTAGCGGAGCTCCGAGGGAAGCGTGTCACCTCTTCGTGTCTAGCTAATTTATCTCTTTATCTCGCTTCGAGCAACAACCGATCGGGAAAACAGAGGAACTCACTTGTTCAGTCGCATTCCTTCGGTGGCGAGAAGATAAATTGGAGTCGTGGGTCTCTGCGATTCGGGCACGTACTCCTTGAGGGTATCCAGCAGCCCCGAGATGTCTCTCGACGTCGCACCCGGCGCCGCCGTCTGCGCGAAGCCGACCTGTTGACTTTCGACTCGACGCACCTGATCCACGCGACCGGTCCCACCCAGCTTCGCGCCCTCCCAGTGGTAGAGTGTCGCCTCTGTATGGCTCGTTCCCACTTCAACGACGATGCCGTACTGCGTACACGAGAGAAATTGAATTATTTCGTTGATACACCCGGGAGGGATCCGAGGACAACGCCTCAGGGAGCTATTGACGCGCTCTCATCCGTAGATCAAAGCAATTACAATCTATTATTATCCGCGCAGAACTATGACCTGAATAGTAGCGGGAACCTCGAGCTTAATACGGAGTAAGAGGCGGGGGTCGGGGGAAAGAACCGCTTGGGGGGAAGCCAGTCAATGTGAGCGCCGGGCAGGACTGAGACCACCAATGAGAACTCACCACGAATGGCACCTGGCCACCGGTGAAGAAGAAAACCACGAACGCGAAGCCCAAGCCACACATTCCAGTAATGAGGCAGAGCACTGAGAGAATCTTCCAGTTGGCGTAGTAGAGTATGTCGTCTTCGGATTCTGCGAAGAATATCGGGAACGCTGTTAGAATGCAGCCGCGGGATATTCCTTTGTTTCTCTCCTCCCACACAAGCCTCCGTGATCTCGCCGCGGGGAATTCCCCCCGCCCCCCGATCCCGGAGGCTCAAAACCGATCCGTGCGTCATTGTTGTACAATAATCTTCTCGTGTTCCTGCGAGGAGCGTCGCACAGAGAAGATCAGCCTAGGAATAGCCCGGTTAGGTATTCGAACTTCCATCTCCTAGTCATCGAGGCGGAGTGCGGAAGCGGGTATAAAATCTCGATCAAGGAAAACTCCTGACACCTGGCCATAAGCGATTAGCCTGTCCGCCAGCGGATCGTTTGAGAGCTCCGGTGCTCTTCTCTCCTCGGTTAGGCTGCACATTCGAAGGTTCGTCATCGGAGGTCTCGAATCAGGCGACGTCAAAACGACAGCTCGGTGACTGCTATCAGAATCGTGAAGGATCAACGGATGATTTTCGAATGTGGAGAATGTGCCGTCGGACCGATACCCAGCTCGGAAGACCTCAAGACGTGATATGGATCGATTTTCTCGGTCCCTGTGCAGACCCTTTATCCTCTGTGACGGCATTTCGTCTCTCAGTCAGTCAGGTCGTCCTGTCGGTTCTGCGCATCTTTCTGCTCTCGGTGGATCCTTGGACAACTTTTTCAGGCAGCGTCTGTTGAACAATGGACGATCTAGTTGAGGTAGACATAACACTGTATTGGGGTCGCTGTGGCCGATAAATAAGTTACAAGCCGACCAGTCACCCGTCCAGCAGATCTCGACGCGGTTGTTGACGAGGCCGATGGTGTGAGCGGTGTCCCATGATGGCCGAGACGGTGGAACAAACTTTGTCGAGTTCAGCCATTGGGACCTGCGGGGCCGACGACGCCGACGCATCGCATCGATGGGCCTCGACCCTCACCCACTTCAGTAGCGGCAGTCTGCGTCACCCAATGAGTTTATTACTTTGACTCTTTTCTCTCGCATCACGGTGTATCGCTGGGAAAATTCACCTCGCACAAAGCCTGCGAAAATTTCCCTTCCCCGCAACTTCAGGAAAGGAAAACTCTCGAGTCTGAGGTGTCGTTAGTTCGAAAATTTATTCCGAGAAGTCAAGTTCTTCGACGGAATCACGCTGATAAATTATCTGAATTCATCAAAGCGTGACTGAAGAGTTCTTAGAGCCGCCTGGGGACCGGCTCGATCGCGACGATCGGGGTTTCCGCATGCCTGAACAACAGAGTAAACAAACTCGTATTGAGGCGTATGAAGTCGGCAGAGAGTGCGACGAGGAGGAGGAGGCGGAGGAGGCGTTAGATTACACGCTGTCCGCCGATCTCTAACACTTTAGTTTCGTTCCATTTCAACAATCTAATCTCTCCATCCTACTCAATCGAGATCGACTCGGAGAGCAACAATAGCTCATGATAAACAAGTCGCAGGCGTTGCTCCTCGAGTTTTTGCTCAAGACCCGATCGGCCGGACTGATAGAGTACATTGTTGTCCCTCTCGGCTGGGCTAGTGAGCAGCAATGAGAAAACATTCATTCAAACGGCTATCGATCCGCCTGTTCATTGACAGCTTGTTCCTCGTTCCACGGTCGATCGATCGACGGAACACTCCCGGGGATCTTGTTGGCTAAGGGTTAAGCTCGTCGCACGTCGCCCTGTGAACAAACTCCCGAAGCGACGACGAGGTCTCGGGTATCCCGAGGAAGGACGCCGCCGGCGCCCCCTGCCACCTCTGTTGAGCTTATGCGATCTCGGGGGAAGCGATTTCCCCCTACGGGGAAAAGTAAATCTATGGATCAAGAACTCGTTGCTTACGTTTGAAGCGCAGATACAACGTGTCGCCCGGCCGTATGTTCTGTGCCCGTAAGGAACCGCGTGCTGAGAGAAGTCTGTTGTCTTTTGTGTAAAGCCCGATGCTTGGCTGGTGGGTCAACTTCTTGTCCTGACACGCAGCCCCGATCAGGGAATCCACAGTTGCGTTTGGGTGCGTGCTCACCGTGAGAATTCCACCTCCGCCCGGCAATTCATTCAACACGTTGACTTCCATTCCCATCGTGACGGCTTTCTGGAAAAGATAAGAAAAAACGATTCATTTCGTGTTCTACGATCGCTCCGTAGAAGAGGTCTCGGCGTTCCTACCGACGCAGATTTCTGCGCCACGCCGCGGAAATTATCCGGAATGAGCTGAATCATCCACGACGCGAGTGTAATTCCGCATTCGGAGTCCGATCCACTTAGTGAGCCGCCCCTCTGGAGATTATCTTCGCGATTTGTCGCTGCCTCTACAAGCCTTTCTCTATCGCGCTATGTACGTGCTCGGTCCGTTCGCCCAGCCCGACTCTCACGACTACAATACACCTCTTGAAAGTACCCGATTGATGGGATAATGTTAAGTGAGCAGGCTACCAGCTTGTTCGACTATGAACGCTCGGCTGTTCGCTCGCAAACACACGTAGCGAGTCGCATGTCGTTGTTACCGTCGCCGTTCTTCCACTCGTTAGGCTCTCAACGGAGGAATGAGCTGCTACTCGTTACTTGTGATTCAATTATCGCTAGATAGCCCATCCGTCCGTCCGCATTGCCCACCGGTCCGCTCGGGGGACCGTCCGACCGTCCGACCGTCCGTTTGTCTGACCGACCGTCTGCCTGCCTGTCTGTCTGTTCAAGGCCCTGGTCACCGCCGACCAGTGTTCCGACAGCCGCCTCGGTCGGGGAGGAGGCCGCCCCCCTGTTGGTTGTCAAGACGACGACGACCCAAGAAACAGTTATTCGGATAATTACGACTTATCTTTTTTTATTCAATGGCAGGGTTCGAGGACAACGAGAGCCGGTGAACTTGCCAAACTCTTATAACAACTCCTCCGATATCGGGGAACCAACGCACCCCTTCGTCGGCTCTATCGTAATGAGGGGTCGATCGACATCATTAGAGATATCGCGTTTCCCGCCCCCCCTCCCCTAGAGATGCTCACCGGTGAGCACAATCGAAACTTTGGCAGAGAGCGTCTCAAGACGATCAACAATCCTTGCCTTCAAAGGAGAGCAACATCATCGTAGACAGAATCACTGTTTTCCCTTCATCTCTTTTCGATTGCGCGGGTTTCCGATTCGATAGCGCATTTTTCCATTTGGAGAGCTCCTGCACCAGGTCTCTGTGAGGTTTGAGGAAGTGCCCTCGGACAAGTCAATCCGCGCATTGCTTCTTCTCGCGATCGCTCGCTGTTTTTTCTTGTGAAAGGGGGGCGCTAGCGGACATTTCTCGCCGGATTCGAAAGCTCCCCCACCGAGCGACGTCGACCAAGAAGACAAAACTTTCCATCGGTATTCAAACCCAAGAAGTCGCCCTTGGAGCGCTAGCCCTCACTCAGCGAATTATTCCGGGGAAATCATTTATTCTGCGAGATCTCGGAATTGTGGCCGTAGGAGAAGATTGCTGGGGCTTTGAGTTCAGCCATTCACTCATGGCGTGATCTCTTCATTCTAATCTCTTTCCTTCCCAAACGAGCTAGTGCTTGGCGGAGTGTCGCCGGCGACGACGCTTCTCTGGCGGAAATATTTTCCGCTTCGGATAAATTCTGCCTGTCGGAGAGCCTCAAAGAGGAACGACTGTGGGACGCTCTGGGGAAATGCGGCAGGAGAAGATTCCAAAAGAAACTCAGAATTCAGCTCAGCACTGATCGAACATTCAGGGAATCGAGCCATCAGTCAGCCATCATGCCATTTAATCATGCTCCAAGGCGCTCATCTGTCCTACCCAGATGAAACGTCGAGGAGTCCTCTTCAGCTCCAGCGTTTTCGGGTCGAGCGAGAGAAAAGTGAACAGGAAGATCGATGCCTGTTTAAGCAGATAACGAATTGAAACGTCGGGATGCCCCGGAGAGACATGACATCTGAGAATTCGAGGAGGAGGCACATCAGCGGTCTTCCCGAGACCGCATCTCGCTTCCTGCCTCGGTGTCAGTCGCAGCGAACTCGACGGGGAAATGTGCGTCGTTGGGGGAAAAATCGTCCGACCTCCGGGAGTGGACGTCGCGGTGCTCACGATTCTTCTTGCTGCCACTTCTGCTGTTTTCCGGTTCATCAGTTTTCTCGCAACGCTTTGGAAATTTTCACGGTGACAAACGAGGATGTTTTCCTTTAACGAACATTTAGGGTGGAAGGCTGGCAGGGAAAACACGATTCCGAATGGAGAGGCGCCCACGTTGTTCCAACAAGAACTTCTGTCTCAGCCAACGGAATCTAATCTACGCCCCCTTTCGCTTGACGGGCGAATTATACCGACAACTTTCATCTCTGATTGTAAGATGTGCGCGGCTCAGTTTCATAGCTTGGTGCCGAACCTGTAAACGGCATCAGCTACACGGTTCAGCTCAGACGATCGTCAAGCCCTCGGAACTTCGCTGACATATGACTGTAGCTGTTATTTTCGGCGTCGCCATCCAGGGACTCGCGACCAGTCGGGGTTCATAGCCTACAGTCCGAAACGGGCATGCTTATCAGTAGAGAGCACGAGGTCAAGCCAGAGTTCCACCGTCTCCGACGAGAACAAGTTCTGCGTAGGCGTGATTTTCGCGCGACGTGGCCTCAAACCGCCGACAGTATCGACAGAGTATCATTGTCCGAGAGTGTTGCCTGAGAAGTGTGGGGACCCATCTTTTTCCGCTGTTGCCAGCTGCTGCGGCATCAGACGGAATATACTATCCGGGAGAAGCCGTCTTTCCATGCCGATTGACGGGTGAGCATCGGAGGCTTCGCGGACCGAATTGGAAGCTGTCGGAATCACTCGTGGGGACGAGGGTCAAAGCCACTTAGATAGTGGTCAGATGCAGAGCTTGGGGTTAGGACAGCGAACTGTGTGGGTCAAAGGAAAGATGTCGCGAATGGAACGTTCATCCACCTCTCGATCTATTTACGAAGTATTCACACCAGACATCTCGCTATAGCACTCCTGTTCACAGGAATTGCTAATCCTGGAGCTCGAGAGCTTCCTGCAAGATGATCATTCGGAAGCCAAGACTCGGTGTTTCCGGTATTCGAAACTTGAGGGGCCCCCGATCTTTTATAACTTTGAGTGAAAAAAAAATAAGAATCACTGCTCGCACCGCCGGATGCTCTTGCTGTTTCTGCTCTTGTTGATATTCCTCCGGTAATGGGATATTTGACGCCCACTTGACGGCAGTATGTCATACAGGGTGGTGTCCCTAAACGACCGCTCTCGTTTAGACTTGCTAGGAGGACAGAAAGCCAGCCAGCTAAGGCAGAGAGCTTTCGGTGTGATCGAGTGCCTGAAGTTGGGGTTAGGGAGCCGCTCCAGGGGCCTTGTACCGCGCCCCAACAAGATCCATGAGCGCGAAACGAGAGGCCCAGATACGCGCGGACGTAACTCCGGCTCAATTGTCGTGAGCTCGACGTATATTCAGGTATCCGGAATATCGGTCCAAAATAGAATTTCACTCGACCGATCGCTCACACTGACCCCACAAGTAAGTAAGCCGTGTGGGTGCACGTCGGTCGGCGCGCTGCTCTGTAGGATGGATCGTATTGCGTCGTTCCCCTGCTAACTAGCGGTTTCCACGCAACGTCTGGAGACCGGTATCGGCCGATATGAGTTATGAGAACTTTTCCACTCGGATAATCCGCCGCGATATCCGCTTCGTCGGTCGCTCTCTTACCCGCTTTTATGTTCGTCGCCGTTCAATATCTGTCCCTCAAGGCGACCCATGTGGCATTGTTCATTGCTCGATTGACTGATTCCCGAGTAATTCATTCTCATTGAGTGAGGAAATCTGAGGCGAGGCTCCTTAGCTTGCTTGGCTGCTTCCATCCATCCACAGCTTTCGCGTGTACATCTGCCAAATTGTCAATCTCGAGCTCCCTCGGACTCTATCTGTACGAATTTTCGTGGATCGAGTCGCATCGTGCTCGTGCACGGTCGGTGCCCGGACCAACCAATTCATTATGCTGAGATGCTGCCTCACCAAAGGATAAGCATGTTCGTACCGCCAGCCACTGGCTTAACAATTTTGATCAAAGGATTCCAAGACCTCATCACACAGATTTGAGCTCGTAATTAGGGGGTATTCAGTTGGGTGGATAATGAGCGCGAGCCATCCTCAAAAGGCTGAAAAGCTTCCGTTCTTGCGCTTCGAACACTGCAGCAGAATTCTCTAGGGGGAGCGGGGGTTCAAACCCAGGAGCGGTTCCCGTGAGTGAAAATTCCGGATTCCGGGGCCGTGATTCAGCAGTGAATGATAATGACTGGACTGAATGGCAATATCCTGTTGCTTCCGTCAGACATGGTTGTCGAACCTTATCTTACAATGCGTAGGATGTGAGCGCAATTAAGCGACGGAGTCGACGACCGACTACGGACGACTCCAGGGGGTTATCACGGCCCTGCCGACACTGTCTGCAGGCATGAGCAGCGCTCCAAGGAGGAGTTCCCGGAGTCCGTATGTGTACCTACATATATGGAGGCTAGGAGCTCATTTGTAGGGCGGCGATCTCTACAGGAATCAGCAAAATATCGAATGAACGTCGAACGGAGTTTCATGTTTCGTTCTCGCATATAGAAGCTTCAAAACGCTCAGCATGACAGAATGCGTACTTGGGCGGTTGAATTCCTAGAAGAGCCACGAAGGACGCGCTTATTTAGTACGGCTCCCTTACATGCCTTATCGAACAAATGGAGAGGCCCTCAAGACCTCCGGGACACGCAATGAATACGCTCCGCATCGGAGATGTAGAAAACAGAAAAGATGTGTCTGGCTCCTCAGACTGGCCCGAGCCGTTTTCCCTACCGTCGGTGAAACTCCATGCGAAATCGATTGATCATGTCGAGTCGACTCGCTTGCCGCCTCTAGAGGAGCTGTATGTAGACTCCGTCCGCGTGCGTCATTGGAGCGGCACGTTTGTATTTTCTTGTTGCTCAGCTTCAGTTGCCGTCTATCAATCTCTTCGCTCCAGATCCCCTGGGTTCCACCGAAAGGGCGTGCATTTCCTATCTTAGTCGTCCTTCCCGGAGCAGTGCATATTGAAGCTTGTTCAGCTCCC